GTCTGATTCATTTCAAAACCATCTCTCAAGGTTTCCATAAATATTTGCCAATGACAAGTTGAGTTGCACACAGCAGATGCCACTCATCTGTGTGTACTGCCTCTCATCCACTACAAGGCAGTTTAGCAATAGTGATGCTAAGACTTCCACCCTATATGTATTACCACAAATAATTTTTTTTTAAAAAGCACTAACTGCATCTAACTTCCTTACTTGCTTCTAACTGCAGCAGAGCCTGTAACATACTAACTTAAGTGTGTTTTGATAGTTATCCGCCAGTGTACATCAGTTCACAGGTGGATAACTATCAATATCCAATCCAATGGTGGAATCTTGTTCAGTTCATTCAAAGTTAGCAACAAATTTATTCAACTAACCACTTGTATTTTATTTAGGAAGAAACATAGTTGCCTTTACTTATAGAATCATCCTTATATTTAATATTATTATTTACTGCAATTCATCATCCATGCTTTAGTAGACTTCAAATGTGTACTTGTGGCATCACAGTTGCTTTATTTACTCCCAGGGTCATTGTAGTATGTTGTGTATTCAGAGACTTTCCTTTCTATAGATATTGTCAAGACACCTAACCATGACACTGATGTTGTTTACAGTTCAAATGTGTAAAATGTAGGTAATTATTCAGAGAAGCTATACAGAAATGTGTATTTTGTCTGAAAATCAATAGCAAATTATGACCTTTAATGTCAATTCTTTTCCTCCTGTATGATTACACTTGAACAAATTTCGTCTTCCATGCTTTCTTTAAGATTGAATTGAGTGATTAATATAAAATATAAAGTGTGATGTTGAAGAAAGGTTGTCTTGTTAAGAATTTACCTATTATTTACTGTGCCTCAGAGAACTTTACTTGATGACTTATCTGTTGCAGGGCCTTGCAATGGCTAAAGAGATTGGAGCAGTCAAGTATTTGGAATGTAGTGCCCTGACCCAGAAAGGACTGAAGACTGTGTTTGATGAAGCAATTCGAGCCGTCCTCTGCCCAGTGCCAGCACCAAAACCGAGACGGAAATGTGTCTTGCTTTAAGGATTTTAGTTTGATGTTAAATGGGAAGGGAATGATTGAAATTAAGATACATTTATATTAAGAAAATACTATGTCAAAGTGTGCGGACAATTGGTAAGACACAATTTGACTTTGTGAAGTGTGAGACCAGTCCTCTCACCTGTGTTACATCATGTTGAAAAGTGTTGCGACAATTCCTTGAAGGTTGGTATCTGGTGGCAAGTGTGGGCTTCACGTAGGAACAGAAGGATGATGGACATGTTCTTGTCTCCTGGTGGTTGCTTCATACATTTGAAACTACTTAAAATTGAATGCACTTTGCAGTGTTCAGAAAAGTGGCTTTGACTAAGTAATTCTATGTAGTTAAGTTTTCTCATGCACACATATGAAGTAATAGATTTGTATTGCCCTCAGAGAATGTGGGATATTTTGGATTCTCATGTGCATTTGATATAAAATTTTAAAATCTACCCAAAGCTATGAATGTTTAACATGCATTGTGTATGCTTAGTAGTGATATTGCTTAAATGTTGAAGAAACATAATATGAATTAATGGAAGGCCTAATACATTGATGCTATGTTGTTTGTTTATTTTGACATAAATCAACTTATTTGTAGTTTGTTTCTTCAGGATTTTGGGAAACTGTTTTGTTTTCTGTCAAGTAACACGTTTGCTTTGTGTTGTGTTGGTTATACCTCATCTTCCCTCAGATTTGAATATACTACTGTTGGTTGATTCGTGGTGTCCATTGTGGCCCTTGTGTGCAATGTGAATATTGCTGTAGTGTGTATGTTGCTTCTGCTATAGACTTATCCATCCTGTTCCTATTGGAAGCAGACACTAGGTACTACTGCTCACCGTATGTCGCAGCTGTTTTGGTGTTATGTCACCATTTAATTTCTACAGCGATATTTCCCAATGGCGTATAAGAGAACAGTTATTATGGGGCTGTGAAGTGGATCTTTCTGAAAATGCAAGCCAAGCCATTTGTGGGATCAAATTTAAAAAAATTTAAAAAATGAAAAAATAGGGCACTAGATGAAATAATACAACAAGAGGTTTCAATTAATATTGAAGTTGAAGTGTTTTGTCACTTCAAAAAAGTACACGTTACTTAGTACATTACATGGGATCTGATACAACGTATTCATAAACCATTTCACATCCAGAAACTTCCAATCCACATTAAAAATCTGTGTCTAGCAGACTGTTATGGTTGTGATGTAGGCCAAGATATAACAGAATGTGCTGATCAAAAATGTCTGCATAGCCAGATCATTGATATAGAGCATGTTCAGTAATTTATGATTGTTATCTCTTGTTGGAAAAACTTACGTAAAAATATTATTTGTTCCATACCTTACCATGTATTAAACCTACAGTGTGAGAAATATTGAATATGTTGTACAATTCTCATAGGACTACCTAATGCAGTGTTCATTGGCAGGGCAGTGCTGTTAAGATATGATTTGAGATGCCAGAAAAAATCGAACAAAGCATATCGTATGTACAGTGGAATTTTAAAATTACTACCTTTCAGCATTTGTGAGCCACTCTTGCCTACAAATACTGATTATGTTTGCACAAAACCTGAGCAAATTAACTCATTTTTAAAGAGGGCTTCTTTCTAAGTAAAATGCTTATGTCAGGGAAGTGAATTTAAAAAATAGTATCTCAACATTTGACACAACAGATAGCTGTATGGCAGTTTCTTCTCCTTGGATTGGTGTAAATAAACTTTTTAACAATACTGGAAGTAGACATGCTTTTGACTATTTTTTGTGCTTTTCTGTCATAAAGAGTAACCAAACTAACTTACCTGTTGTTTCAAGGCAACCGTATATGCGTTGAATAAATGTGACATCATGTGAAACAATTTTCCTTTTTGTAATATGTAATGTTTGTTTTATTTTACCATTTCATGGTATCGCAAAGAACAATACAAAGATTAACCTGCATTTTAAATTGTGCTTAGTAACTTAATTAAGTAACAAGTGACTGAAGTTATTTACTTTTAAAATAGATGGTTGTTTACCGAGCTGTGTATTCCAAGTTACAATTAACAATGGATAAGTTACTTTGGTTCAGACACTCAATTTCATTTTTCATTCGACTAAGACTAATTATTATATTTTTCAGTAAATTTACAATTGTACATAGCCTATACAAATGGTAAAATTTGTTAAGAATAATTAAATGTTATTAAGTTGTATATTAATTAAAAATACCTATCAAATAATCCAGGAATTTGATGTTTATAGCAAGTTTTTGAATGTTTATTTAATAATAAAAATTACCTGCTTTACAGCGTTAATAATTCTTTACATTCTTTTCTTGCCAACTATCCAGCATTTTACCAACCCAAAATTTTACATCCTGCCAAAATTTGTGAACTCTTACTTTTTGTTGAGACTTAACTGTTTCACAAATTCGTAAGCAGGTTTGCAAAAATTCTTTGCATAAAAACATTTTTCAAATATAATATTCATTCTTAGTTAGATTGCTTTCTCCTGGGCAAAAACAGAAATGTGCTCAGTTATGGAAATGAATTATCCAGATCTAGAAAAAGGAGTTCTCTTTGTGATGGGAAGGTAGGATTGTTTTCTCAAATGTGGCTAAAATAAATTATGGTTAAATGATAAAAAGGATGGTTTGGATGACATTGTATTAAAAAATGCATTTGACCTATTATCCAAATTTTAAATTTAACGTCACTTGGAAAAGTGTGTGCTTAGGGAGTGGAGAGATTTCAAACTGGAATGTTTATCTCAGGAGAGGTCTGTTAGTGTCATGTCATATAAAGTGTTAAAAGTTGTTACCAGGAGGGAGAGAGAGAAGAAGAAAAGGTAAGTGTGTGAATATATTTTTGAATAGCAACTAACAAAAATAACTAGTTTTATTCAAAGCAGATAAAAATTTGACACAAAATAAGAGTCTAAAATTTTACCCTTATTAGTTCTTGACCACTTTCTGAAAGTCATTCATTCATTCTGAAATTAATTTTACGATGTAATCAACCATGATCCCTGAGCATTTTTATTTTGGATTGGTGGTACTTATTTTACCCTAAATGCACTTGAAAGTATTTCTAACTCAAAGATCTATTTGAAATTATGCGTTTCATGTTTTACAACAATTCGCACATCACCTGTTCATTAATTGTGTTTGAAATGATATAAACACATTGACTGTGGGGAGCGGATGGCAGTTAAAACAGTATTATGGTTCAAACCCACCCCATGACATTTCTGAACCTATGGCTCTAAAAGGAAATACGTATATGTACAGTCAAGAGGTCGACATTTCCTACAACACCTCTGAAAAGTAGTGGAGTTACAGAATGGCACAGACTTTCCCACATTAGTTTTCCATTTCCTTTGGTCATGGCTAGCTATATGAACTTGCCACATATTCTTGTCAGCTGCCATCTATCTATCATATATTATCTATTAAGTATTTTTTTTCTTAATTTTTCAATTTCTTAATAGTAGAACGGAAATATTATTTAAAGAAAATGAAAGAACAGTAAAACCTTGTCCTAAATGGCAATTTCCTTTGAAAAATTTGAAACTGTTTTTAAGAAAATGTTGCGTAAACGCTACTGTAAATTCGAAATTTGAAGCTCTTTGTAACAGAAAATTCTTGAGTTTTCGAAAAACTTCATTCGAAGTCATTTGAAGCACATTAAATAACAAATACAATAGTGTTTCCAAATTACTGGAAGTAGGCATATTAACAGTGTGAGAGATCTTAAAAAAAAAATTACATTGTATAATTTTTCAAAAAAGAAAAAAATTTCCAGAAATGAACTTTGCCACTTAAAAGAGTGCAATTAGCTTCACATTTTCGAAATTTTGAAGAAAAAATTTCGAGTAGGGTTTGAGCATTTCTGAAAATGCGAAATTTTGATCTTATATTTTTCACAGTAAATGGTTGAATTTTTGAGAAACTTTTTATGATATTTTTAAGCACATTTACTCAAATATAATAAAGTGAACATATTGCCACTAATATGAATATGAACAATGTGAGAAGCAAATCAAAAAATGTACATTTTCCGCTGCATTTCCTAACTTTTCCTATACTACGTAAATAGTACAAGTAAAGTAAAAAAAATGTTGTTTTTTTTTTGTAATTTTTGAAAAAACTAAATGATAGGGCAATGTGGTGTTTGTCATGTTATCAAGTGCGTTTACTATCCCTTCTAAAAGGGAAAGAAAAAAAATTAGCCGATTTTGAGAAAATCTTGTTTGTGTTTTTTAAATTAATTTAATTTCAAATATAGCGCGAAAACTACTAGAAGTTTTAAAAAATGTACAGGACTTTAATGAAAGAACTTATTATGAGCAACAAATTGTATATGAAGGAAAAACCTCTATCTTCAATTTTATAGTTGTAAGAAGACGCGGGAGAAAATCCAAACTTTTGCAGTTTTAGAAAATTTAAGAGATGACCGTGAAAACGTGACTTAAGCCAACTTTGGAAGTGCATTTTACTATATTCTTACAAGAAATTTAAAGAGATCTGGAGCCGTTTTTGAGAAAATTTTGAAAATGTCTGAGGGGCTTCAAGTACCCCCAAATTGTGAAAAACGTTTTTCAAAATCGCAGCGTCTCGAGTGGACTGCTATTTTGAAAATCGGGGGTAGTGGTGTTCGTAGACGGACGGACGTTTTGAAAGAAAAAACACTTCATCGGTGTCAGGGGACTCAAAATCTGTATTTCTCTTTAAATCTCGAAATCGATTTTTCGCAGCATTACAGAACTTTATGTAAACATATTAGTTATATTACTTCGTATATACGTACGTATACAAAAAAGTAAACTAGTGGTGCTAAAACAGCTTACACTTTTTCACCCGCCTTAATAACGGTTATGTAATATATCGCGTTTCTGTCTATAACAACACATGCAGAGATGCTGCCAACAATTAGTAGATATTTTCAAATCAATTCTTGCAAAAAGCGCCATTTTTTGCCATAAATACAACTGTTTTTCAGTTTGCATTGTGGGTTTATGAAAGTTCTTCTGAGACTTTCTTTATTGAACACTATTGCGTGTTTCGAATATATACAATTATTTTTCGCTATGTCCCCAAAATATTTCAAGTTCATTCGTAAATGTTTTATTTTATTTCAAATGAAGACTTAAAACTTTAACAAAACCATAATTATCCTCTTCATAATTCATTATGAAATTACACAGTTATAGATGCCATGGAGAGCAATAAAGCAGAAAGCTCACTGAAACGTTTTATATATTTTCTGCCAAACTCGTACGTTAGTTTTTTGAAGAAAAGAAATGAAATGGTAAACGAAGAATATATATTATATATAATATATATATATATATATATATAGTATATATATATATATATATATATATATATTCTAGCCAACCACCTACCCACACTTACCACCTTCACAGTAGCAGGCATGAACCGTAAGCGGGTTATCAAGATTTTGCTCGTGAAGCGAGCTTATTGCGATCACACAGATTGCACACAAACGAGCGTATAATTTACCATAAACTTTTAGTGGCTTAAGTTAATGACAAAAAACCAAGAATATAGAATCACGCTTTTACAAAGAATGATCAAAACACAAATAAAAACCTTTACAACAACACTCATTGAATTAACACATAATTTACTTGAAGATCGATACTCTGAAATAATTACCCTAAACTACATTGGGAATTCCCTTGGAAAATTAATTATATCTAAATTGTGCTATTCCAATACATGCACGTGAAACCAAAAATTCAATTTACAATATCCTGCTTCAAAAAATTACATGCAAAGAACAAAATGTGTGCAAGTGCATTACCTCATTTACAATTAACTGTGGTCTGAAAATAGCAAAATAATAAATGTCCTAAGTAGAATGTTTTTAGGCAGGCAATAGCGCATCAAAATGTCTCCTACTATAATACTGCAATTTGTTGCCAACCCGTGTTCTCAAATTCTTAACACTTTCCTATACTAGTTTTTCCCTGCCGACATGAACTTGCCTATTTCGCGGATTCCTAACCGCTTACCCTCGTGGACTCCACAATTTGGCCTTGATGGTCGTGCGCTGTCGCTGCGCCGACGCCTTCCGGTCCCAGATTCTGCGTCGTAAGAGGACGGGATTTCGCCTCTGCGTCTGCGTTTCCTTCTTGCGTCTCTTCCCGTTCTTCCTCCGCTCCGTTCCGTCTTCTTCCTCGTGCGCCTGGATCCTCTCGGGCTCTCTGCTTCCTTCGTCTTGCACCGGCGCTTCTGGCTTACGCCCACGTTGCGAAAATGTCCCTTGCACTTTACCGAATACTCGTGCAAGTTCCTCGCTCGTTGCTACTGTCTACTTTGCTAAGCCAGAACTTTCAATGCCTTCTCTCACAAAGGGCAACTTTTACATTCCCGTGTTGTTTAATTGAAAGAAACAATACTTAATCTGCACTATCTGGCGGACACGACTGACTAGAACGGTCTGTTCGACGCCGAATACTCCTACCTAGTAGTCGTTGCAGCGGCCTAACCAATATCTAAAACTAATGTTTAACGAAAGTGTTGACTCGGACGATCGTGGTGGTAACGAAGCTGCTTACTCGACGCGTGGTGACAAGAAAAAAAAGAGAGCTCGCTTGCGGGTTCGCGTATTTATCGCGCGGTGCCTGGGGAAATTCTCAGTGGTAGGGCTGCTTCCCCTCTCTCAACCCTTCACAAGGAAACATTGCTTGCAAGTTCGCATTCGTTTAGTAGCGTGGGCAACGGATACCAGCGCGTGTTTATGAACCTATTTTCTGCCGCCTGCTATCCACGCTGCCTCCGTAGCTGTTCGCACCATATGAATCGTCGCGCCTCTGATGGGGGTGCACAATCCCATAACGCCACAATATATATAACATCATACAGACAAGCAAGGATAATTTCATATTAAAATGAACAATATTATAATTTTATGAATGATGGCCTACATAGCACAGCTCTAAGATTTATTTGCCTCCCGTATAGTAAAAGTATGAAGAAAGTACCACCTAAAGAAATGAAACATTTTATTAATTCAAACATAAATAGACTAATTATGCTTAAATCCCTTTTAATTATTTAACTAACCGAATATTTTTCCATTTATTGATTTTTTTGTCAAAAAATAATTATCTAACAATGTTTTGGAAATTTTAGACCCTTCATATTGGATTTTAGCGTATGTGCTGCAGCTAGAGTATCAATATTTAATCATGATTTCTCACTTGATTAACTATATAACACATTAGTTTGAAAATATCGAAAAGGAGGACAGGTTGTAGGACAGTTCTCGAGGAAGGACAGAACCAATAAAAAGAGGAATGTCTTCCCTAAAGGAGGACGATGAAAGCCATTATACCATCAGCAGACCGTCAACTTTATGAACTCGTCAGACACAGATCCCCCCCCCCACACACACACACACACAGAAAAAATTTAGTGACCATTAATTTTAACTTATTACTAAAATTTCAAGCAAAAACATTTTTGAATCATCATTAAAACCAATAAAATCGTCGGGCAATATGAGCTGAGTTTAGCCTCCGTCATTCTATACAATCGGTAAAATGGCACATTCGACCAAATTATTTTAAATAAAAAACTATAGTAATTTATCGAACACACGTGACTCACAGGCAGGCATTTATATAGTATCCCTAGGATAGCGAAGGAATTCTCAAAAATGGCTCAATTTTTTTTCTTTAAATTTCGTGTAAGAATACAGTAAAATACACTTATAAATGTGGCATAGGTCCGAATTTCACTGTTAAGCCTCAATTTTCGATAATTACGAAAAAAATGAATTTTTTTCGGCGACATACTGCAACTACAAAATAGAAGATGTACAAACTACAAAAAAAATTAGTAGTTTTCGCGCAATATTGTGTGCAGTTTAAAAAACAAAACTTGAATAAGATTTTCTCAAAAGTCGTTCCAATTTTTTAATTAAAACTTTGATAGGAATAGTGCTAAATGTACTCTATGAAATGGCATACACGCAAAATTGCTCTATATTGTTATTTTTAATTAGTTAATTGTAAAATTAATTTTTACTTTCCCGTATACGTACGTATATGCGGAGTAATGTACATAGTATAGGGAAAGTTATGTAATCTGAGGAAAATTGATTTCGAGATTTCAACGGAAATACACGTTTGGGGGTCCCCTAATGCCGAAAAAGTGGTTCGTTTCTCTATCCGTCTGTGAACCCGTCTCTCTATCCGTCTGTGAACATTAGTGATGCTTAAACCATGCGTTGGGTATTTTGCAAATTGAAGTAACCCCTGTCCATCTGGGTAGAGTCAAAGCCTTGAGATTTTGAAAATCATTCTTTAAAATTTGCAGATACTTTACATGGAGCCCTCCGGACATTTTCAATTTTTTTTAAAAAAGGTTCCAATTTTTTTTCTTTAAATTTCTTTTAAGAATGGAGTAGCACACTCTTATAAAAGTGGCATAGGTTCGATTTTCACCGTTTACTATGAATTTTCGAAAATTTCAAAGTATGATTTTTTCGGGGTCTTTCTACAAATTCAAAATTAAAGATAGAGATTTTTCCTTCAAATGAAATTTGTTGTCCATAATTATTTCTTTTATTAAGGTCAAATACATTTTTTTAAACTTTTAGTAGTATGTATGCAATTTTAAAAAAATACAAAAACTTATTTTTTTCAAAAACAGCTACAAATTCATCCTTCAAACTTTTCGAACGGATAGTGCTAATTTCCCTCTGTAATATGACGTAAAGTTGTTGTTGTTTTGTTTTTTTGAAATTATGCAAATGTAATTTTTTGAAAGTTTTCACACGCCGTAAATATTCACATTTCCAGCAATTTGTAAACACTATTGCATTTGTGACTAGAAGTGCTTGAAATGACTTCATATGAAGTTTATCAAAAACTCAAAATTTTTCTGTGAGAATGAGCTTCAAATTTCGAATTTATAGAAGCGCTTGGACGACATTTTCCTAAAAACTTTTGAAAGAAAATTTGCCATTCAGTATGCGGTTGCACTGTTCTTTAATATTCTTGAAATAATATTTCTGTCCCACTATTAAGAAACCAAAAAATTAAGAACTTTTATTATTATTATTATTATTATTATTATTATTATTATTATTATTATTATTATTATTATTAAAGGAAAGAAAGGTACTTTGACGACGAGAAAAAGCAGCTAGAAGGCAGCTGGCAAGCGATTTGTGGCTGCGATATGTTCACATTATTGCTTTACGAGTAAATGTGTTTTAAATGACAAAGTTTCTCGAAAACTCAAAAGTTTTATGTCGTCAAAGAGCTAATTTTGTACAACAGACTTTTCCAGATGCGAAAATCTGTCTTCAATTTTGTAGTTTTGAATACTTTTTGTTGCAATTTTGGAAAAAAAACTAACAATATCCGAAAATGAGACTGGTGCTGTATATCTTACCGTTCCTTACTACATATGTGGAGAATATTTAAAGAAAAAAATCGGAGTGTATATTGAGATTTTTTGTGTAAATTTAAATCGCAAAATACGCAAAAATCTACTCGTTTTTTTTAAAAAAATGTACATAATTTTTTTTAAAGAGCTACTTTTGTACAACAGACTTTGTCTGAGGCAAAAATCTCTAATTTTGAAGGTTTTTTTTTTTCAATTTTCAATTTTGGAATGTCAACGAAACGATTGGGGATGTCAACGAAAATGAGACATTTATCATTATCTTAATCGTCCTTTGTACTATTCAACAACAACATTGAACTCAAAAGTTTGAGCAATTTTTTGAAAATTTTGAAATTGATCTATGGGTTTCATGTAAAGTATTTCCCAAGTTTCCTTTTCAAATTCCTGGGTGCACGAAATCAGCTAGAACAATTGGAAAATATCAGTTTTGGAGAAAATCGGCTGAACGAATTATGCGCTTGTGTTGTGCACAAACGGACGGACAGACGTTTTGCCATCAATGAATTTTTTGGTAACAAGGACCCACAAAACATGAATTCTCGCTACAAGTTAGAGTATTTTTTACATATTGAGCAACTGGATTTATCCTCTTTTTCCTTATCAGGGCCCGACAATTAGAGTATTTGTATGGAAAGTCGTCGTTTTCCAGCGCACAATTACAATACTTTATTTTCTTACAGTAGTAAGTGCGAGAAAATAAAATGACCGCTAGTCCATATTGGTACAAACTTAAAATTTCTTTAGATTAACAGATCAGAGTTCATTTTGGATATAAGTAACACCATCACTTCAAAATAAAATATCATAATGACCGGTCGCGAAGCATTGCTCCAAAGCTGGACCGCGCCAGATGGATTTACAGTGCGCTCTTCGCAATTAATTTTGACGAAGACAAATTGTCTTCAAATTCACGCTTGTTAGAATTTAACAAAGAAACAAACAAAAATAAGAAATGAAGCCTAATTATGAATTTAATTTAGTTCACTGTATTTGGAATTTTGTAGTAATTTCAATTTCGATTACAAAAAAAATTGTAATTTTACATAGTGTAACTTCCAAGAGACATTTTTTTCTCTCTTCAAAATTAACGTGTGTTACATTGCACGACAAATAAGAGAAGCGTATTTTCATCGTCCCAAATCATGTATATACACTCCCTCCGAAACGGCTATCAATCTGCATCATACTCTCCGATCTGATAGCACACAGAGCACTTAGTTTGTCAATGATTATATTACTCTGAACTGCAATGCGCTCTGCCTTTCATATTTCGTTGCGCAGTGCTGCTTAGAAGTGCGTCCAGTGGTCGAAGCATGGTCGAAATATACTCTCTGGATCGAAGCGCGGTCGAAATATGGGTTCGCTTGTCAGGAAGAAAATTGGTAACAAGTCTTTTCTTGCAACAATCTTTGCGTTGCTGCCAACTACTGAACACTAAACTAAAAATAATAATTCATAATAAATTAATTTTTTATGACACTTTCATATAAAATACACGCTAATGAGGTTAAAATACACATTATTTGCATTAGGTTGGTTTTAATTAAACATTTTAAAATGTATGAGGACGTAGCTAATGAACAGTTGTTGGCTTTACTGTATGTTGTGATTAAAATGGCGTCAGTCAATGGCGTCTTTTGTTAGCTTATTTGCGTTTAGCGTGTATTTGCTGTTTATGTGACTGTTGTGAAGTGTTTTGCGTATTTTAAATATCACATTATCCAACGTTTTTAAATGAAATTCTCACTAATAGGAGAAACTTTGTTCTGTTGTGAATTCAACACGCGCGGGCACTGTCCCTTTAAGTAACGAATCAGCATAATATTTCTTATTATTTTGAATATGCACGCAATTAATTATGTAGGATATGTGTGTTTTATGTATATGCGAGTCTTTGTTGTATGTGAGTGTTAGACAAATAGTCACAGTGACATCTTTTCGAAATGAAGAACCATGACAGATTCAGTGCAGAATAGTGGTAACCGACCCTGTCGGGTACGCAAAAGTCTGTGTTCTGAATTTGTCAAGTGTAGTGTATCAACATCGTCGTCAGGAGAAAAGTTAAACCTATCGAAATTTTCTGAAGGACAAAGAGTTACACGCAGTTCTAAAAGATGTCCTTTGACGTTTGGATCCGGTACTGGGAAGGCGAGTGCTGTGGTATCTGGTAATTATGCATGTAATAGGAAATCATTGCAAGGTGCTATTACGCGAAGAAGACATGCAGAGTTGTTTAGTAACCGTGTTGGGAGGAAAGCAGGATCATTGGACAATGCCAGCAGCACAAGTGATTATGGAACACTTTCAGAAGATTCAAGAAACTGTTCTTATGGGATTGATATTTCGCCAATAAATTCAGAAAGAAGCCGTGATATTGAATCTTTAAGTGGCATTGAGAGTTTGATATTAGTGAGTGATGAAGATGATGCTGGTGGTGTTGATAGTGCTGCGAAAATTATTGACTTGTCAACGTGCGGATGGGAGTCTGATTCAAGTGATGTGTGTGGCAAAGATGATTGGGATAGTTTAGCTGAACAAGAATATTTTAAACATTTGAGAGAAAGTACAGAAGTAACATTGATCCGTGAGAATCAAGTTACAGCTATCATACCCGTTTTAAATAGAAGTGGATATAAAGGAAACTTTGGTATTCACTTACTGGAGAATGACAGAAATGTTTATAGGTTTGTATAATTAAAATTGTGTGTCAATTATGTGGTTAAAGTTTTAACTTGGTTTTGGAATTATGTGCTTTGCTTTTTAATTTAATTATATTTGTAGATCTTCAAGTAGTAGGCTATGCTTTATTGCAATTCTTGTCTTGATTCCATTGGATAGACATGTCGTAAGGGAGTTCCAGCCACCGGGGAAAAAATAAAACTACTTAATGTTGTGCTATTAGTCATTAGTTTAAACAGTTATGAATATAAAATTATAGGCACTGTTAATAAATAGAAAGCAAGTCTATTATATCTTATTGAAGCAGTAATATGTCAAAAATGTATAAGATTTTACAAAATATTGTACAAGGATATCTGCAAGTTAAGTCTTAAATATTCTGATGTCAAGTTTTTACTTAACACATTCGATCCTGAGGGGTTCACCATGTGATTAAATCCTGTGTTCTGGGCAATATAGCTGTTATTCAAAACATTGTAAAACAAAAACAATTGTACCTGTCAATTTGAAAGTGTTTAAATCTTGTTGTATTGTCTTTTCTCTTTAAGTCTGTATGTATTTTATGTTCATTTGATTATAAGATGGTAGAAAGAACGGAATTCAAAGAATCACATGTGAATTTTATATTTTTGCGGAAAGTAACGATGTTAAATAATATGGGGGAAATGCAGTGAACTTCAGGTGTTAACAAAACTGATGCTCTACAATTATATTTTGTTGAAGTTCAGATATAATTCCATTTGCTTATCTATTTATTTCTGCCTTTATTTGTCAAAATATACTGTGGAAAAAAATTATGAAAAATAGTCTAGTTCAGTTGTCTTCATTTACAGGAATTTTAATTTCCTTGATTTTCTCAAACACGGGTAATTCTGATTGTTTATAACTTTCACAGCATTTTAAAGGGAATGGAAATTCTTGAATTTGAGAAGATTCTCTTATAGAATCATTTGCATCATTATAATCTGCCCAATATAATTTTCATTGCTCAAACTAGACAAGAGTCCAGGAATAAAACCGACATACTCATCTCAAGAATCCAGTTCCGATCCATTATTCAAAAATTCTTGAACTTCTAATGTTGAGAGTTGCTGTGAATTTTACAACTATGTCTTCTGAACATCTGTATATGCCACTAACAGCATGAACACTACCTACAAAGAAAAACATTCTGAATGTCCAATGTTCTGAACAGTGCCTGGAAGTATGAATATCCTATCGCTTCCTAGAAAAATTCCAAATACTTGCAGAAAATAGCGCACATTGGTGTTTGTCTTGCAACCACCATAATGATATTAGAAACCTTATTCTACGTGCCTACAAATGTCCAAGGGACGTTTATTGCCTGTCAAAGACAATTGTATAGAAGGGCATATGATATATGTCCATAAGTCACAGCAGTAAAATGAAGATGAAGTTTCAGATAGGTCCTTAAGATCGAAAGTGTTAAACAACTTCACTGTCTCAAAAGAATATGATTATAGCTTAATTTCATAATTTGAGCCTAGTGGAAGTAATGAAGAACAACATTGATGGCTGAAATGTAGTATACGGTACAACCTAAGGAAGTTGTTTAAACTGGCACTTCACGTTGTTCCAGTGTTAACTAGGCAGTTAGAATTCTGGAGGCTTTCTTGAAAAGTGATGTCTTATAAAAGTGAATTGGTAATTATGCATTGGATAGACTCAAGGATGTTTATAGTGAGTGTGAAGGCCAAAGGCCCAAGCTTCGCCGTGACTTTGATCCAGGCGAGCGAAGCGAGAAAACTTGCCCTTGAAAGTAAATTGGCATTACAATGCGGCGGGGTCAAAGCATATGAAGGGCAAACCATGAAAATCGCCTATCCATAAGTTTTATTCATTTCTATTAGAGCACATACAGTAATTAGGGCTTAAGCCCCGCCGCCAAGCTTCTCTAAGGGTGTACCGTATACTAAATTTTAACACATTTGATAATGGGTTCAGTGTAATGTCGTGGATATTATTAATTTTTAATATTTTTTAGAACTATTAAGTTCAAATAGTCACATTTTGTCTGCATAATCTAAATGTATTTTTTATAGATATGAGCTCTGGAAATATGATTTCATAATAGATTTATAAAGAGAAAATTTGTTGTTGGTTTCATGTATTTATTAATTTATTTTAAGGAATGGCTTGTGCTGCAGTATGCGAGTGCATCATGTTAGTCCTGTGGTGTCCATGGAACCTCATGGCATTAAGTTCTATGAATCATTTCCTGCCATGCTGGTAATTCCTCTGAACATTGAACCTCAGGATGAGGCATGGTTATCATGTCTATACAGCAATACTTCTGGTGGTGAAGTACCTGTGTGGGAAAGGCTTCCTAAAACTGCATATTCTTACAGGTAAACTGAGATAGTATCTCTCCCAGAATACCTCGTTAAGAGCTCAGAAAATAGTTAAGATAATTTTGAAAGGTGGATATATTTCTTTCCTGTAAACACACCTTAAAATTCCTTTTTCCTTTTTCTCAATTCAGCAATCTTTAAGTAAACTTCAAGTGGTGATAATAGAAAAGCTCTTCTAACTTCATTTTTATGTATTGCAAACCAGCCTATTTTTTCCTAGCTGCCCACGCATTTGAAGTCGTATATCAAAGGAGTTTGTTTTACCAATTGTATGTTGTACCATTCTTTTTTGGGCTTAACAATGAGACCTTGTCGATGTTTTTCAGTCCAGTACCTATATTGTCCAGGTACCTCTTAATGAGGTGACTTTAGATATTATAAATGCGTGACAGAATCACTCTGGTATGATGCTCAATCCTTTCCTACTTTCTCTTTCCAAGTTGGTGGGAACAAGAAAAAAGCTGCTGCTATTGTATGAATAATATTTCTGACTACTTGGCAATTGGAGGTGGGTAGAGCAATGTTGCTACTTATTTGATCACAACAAAAAGAGCAGTAGCATGAAACAAATCACAATGATACAATTGTAGACGACAGAAGCACATTTTCAATGCATAACCAAACAAGTAATGGTGGTCTTGGCCACTTGGTGCTTTCAATTTTCAGTTGCTTCAAACTAAGATTTCATTTTTTTAATGAGCATTGGCAACTCTGCATTGGCATCATATTTTGAAGCCTCTGATTTGTTAATGGAGCTCCCTCTCCCCTGTCAGCTACTAACTGACAAGTAGACAGAAATATTATTCAGACAACAGGATACATCTGTCAGAGTCATCACGTTTCTGAAACATCGAGCACAAAGAAGTGTGGTACAACTTATAGTTTCTAAATTTAGTCCAATCAAATTAGAGAAATCAAGTGGAAAAAATACCAGAGTTTTGAAACTTGCATTGTGTGTTTGTGTCTTCTGCATAACATACTAAATATCCTGAAGTGTGGGGGGTGAGCTGGAGGCAGGTTGGCTGATTGAAGGTGTTTTTTCAACGTTTATCTATCAATCCAACAGAAAATTATATTCTACACAAAATTAAAGTAGACAAAATTTCCTACATACGAATTCCTATAAGGTTTTATTGTACAATTAACTATTTTATAAGCTCAAAAAATTATTGTTTTGGTTTACGATGCCCTCGTTATCTCTCTTATATAAATTATGTTTTAATAAGTCCAGTGCATGGACGTAATATTATTTTTGTTCAACATTTATCAACAACATGTATTTGCATATTTTGCACAAAAAACAGGAACGTATTATACCTGTACAAATCTTATTTTGTATACAGACTTGCGAGTATCTGTGGTCATTTGAGTTCGATAATCCATAGTTTATGGTATCAAGTTCAAGTATTTGGAAAAGAATTATGTACACTGTCAACATACAAATTACATAAAAACAATACAAATGCCCTGATTAACCAAGACAATCATTAGGAAAAAATATAACTAATGGCAAAACTGTCGAAGCCAATAGTGTGTTTAGAAATGTTGGGGCTTCCACCAGTTCACTAATCATTGGATCCTCTCGCCAAACATTGACATTTGTATTGTTCATAATCTGTCATTCGTCATTGACACTCGGTATTAGTTGTCCCTCAATGTTCAATCATGTAAACATGATTATTTCATTTGTATTGTTTTATGTAATTTGTATACCCAATTCAACAAATATTTGTACTTGTTCCTTATCAAATAACCTGAGTATCATCAGTTTTCCTGCCCAAGGAAATTTGAAATTTGCCTCCTGAATCTCAGCAATTTGTAACTCTTGGTTGGGTTTGGCTTCTCCTGCACGATCTTAGTGCTAACCTAGTGCCAAATGTTTTGTTATTGTATCTTTTGTGTTTATATATTTGTTTACATTAATTGAAATTCAAAATAAGATTTGTAAGGATGTAGAATATTGATGATTAATGTTGAACAAATATATTATTTCTATGCATTGAACTTACCATAACCTCATTTTTATAAGAGAGGTAACTAGGGCCTTATCGTAAACAAAAACATGAACTGTTCGAGCCTATAACACTAAAATGGTTAATTTTACAAAATATTACAGGAACTCTCTTGTAGGAAATTTTATCTTCTCTAATTTTGTATAGAACGTAATTTTCTTATGTGATGGGATTGATAGTTATGGAGATACGTGCAAAAAAGGTCCAAAAAGCACCTTCAAATGTCCTGCCCAGCCTGCGGCTCACCTTCCACACTTCAGGATTATTAGTATGTTATGCAGTAGGTACCAACAAACAATCCTGCCAAGTTTCTAAACTCCTGGGGGGTGGTTGTTCGATCGCCTTTTCATGGTCTAATTTGACTGGGCTAATTAGACTAAAAGGGACAGTGATCAGTGGGAGAGTGGTAGCAAAGCATGAGTTTTCTACAGTGAAAGCTCGGCCCTTTGTGTGCACTGCCTTCTTTAATAGTATGCCGTAAGAAATGTTGTCCGGAATGTTCATCTAGAATGAAGATAAATATATTTTACCTCCTTAAAGTATATTTGTAATGTTTCTTTCTTGTCTTGAAAATAGGTGTGTGAGCCTGCTCTGTCAATTTTTTGGCTCTTGTTAGAGGGGGTTGAACCTGTTTATTTCCATTTTATTGTTCTTTTGTGCCTGGATCATAACAACAGATGTTGTGGGTAAATCTTAATAACATATTGACAAATATGAGTGAAAAGGTTTAAAAAATGAACTTCAAAAGAACATAAAATTCAAAAACTAAAATGAAAGTAACAAAATTAGAAACAAACTAGCCATTCAAGCCAAACCAAGTTGGGATAAATGTATTCCTTCCTGAGAGTCCATACCCCCTCAAATATTTAAAACCAACCCACGCCAGGGACTCTTAACACATGTTTTTAACGTTGCCGTAACATGTCATGACAACATTATGTTGTTCATAAGACTTACAATTATTCTCATTTCAATCTCATGTTTTTTCTCTAATGTGTAGTTTGTTGTTTATTTCTTACATTAAGTTGTTCATGAAAATTCACATGTGACATGAACATCATAATCATCCATAGTGTTGAAATGCACGTTATGTTTTATTTTCAGATAAGTTTGTTTGACAAAAGCATGCACAGATTTTAATAGCATGTTTCATTCATAAAGCTTTATTTTCATCGCCCACTGAAATCAGAATTTTCATATTTATTGTCAATGCCTTATAAGATTTTATTTATTTATTTTTAATAATTCAGTACATCCTCAAACTGTTAACAAAATACAAACCCATTTCCATTACTGAATGAGCTGCACACATCCTGTGAGAAAATTAAATCTAAACTGTATTGAAGTTTTGCATTGCTTGAAACTTTAAAAGTGTAGAAACCAAAATTGATAAATTTTACGAATATAAATAAAAACATATTGTAAATTATGCCTCTTGAAATGGTTGTCTTGCATTAAATTATATTTATGACATAGGCTTAAAATTTCTGTAAAATAATAGGAACTTGTAATTTGAAATATTGCATAAATATGGCATGAGATTTTAAATATGAAACTTGGTATGCCAGAGTTAAAATATCATGTAGTAGATTCTGACACTAGCTTAATGAATTTGTGTTATGTGTAATTTAAATATAATTACCTACAGATTTTTTTCCTATGATTTATATTTTCCTACTTTAATTTAACAAATTGAAGATTGCAATTCCTATAAAACCATGTTAAAACCTTATTTTGCCAATGTACATTCTCATCTTTCAATTCAGGATCATATGAAATTATAATGTTAATTTTTGTATTTTATAATTATGATGTAATATTCTTTCACTTTTTGGTAACTGATGAATTTTGTTTATGAATTTGATTATCATTCCATCTGTGTTCAGAGAGTATTTTGTTGTGTTTTTCTTTTTTTTTTCTTTTTTCTTTCTTCATACATTGAGCATTGTTTCCAAAAATATACAATTTATACAGGTTTATTTGAATGATTTCAGAAATGGCTGTCTAGTCATTACAGCTCAGCACTTCAGCCTCTTTACCGTAATATTGGAAGAGCCTTACCCTGAGGTATTGAAACATATAAGGTGTCGATCTGGTGGTCGCATTTGGTTGAATGAGGTACCGGGAGTGAAGGTGGAGTTTCCACGTGGCTGTTTGGAACAAGACATTGATGCATATGTGAGAGTTCTTTATGATAGTGAACCTTCTTTTCGACGAGAATCTTCCCGGAGGCATGATAGAAGTGCCCTTGCATCACCTGTCATTATGTTGGGACCTCATGGATACAAGTTCAACAATGCAAGGCCACCGGTATGAACATTTTTTATTTGTAATTTAGAAGAATGGGATCCTTGAAAGTGAATTCTGGAGGTTGATTAACGTAATCCTTGTTGTCAACTTTGTCAATGGCATAACTTCAGTTAAAAAAGGAAGAGGTGGGGGGTGCAAATTAACGTATACCCAAGTGCCCCCCTAAGCTGGTAAAACATCAAGTTGAGCCAATTCTAGAAGCATCACTGCATCACTGAGCGTGAATATGCGAAGGAATGGATTTTGTATTTGAGAGCTTTTTAAATACATTAAAATCAATCAGTTTTTGTGTGTTGATTTTGAATGTCAGTCTGCAAAATCTGCAACTTCACTCTACAATATTGTGATTTGCCTTTTACAGAATCTTTTATTTTTTTCTTGTGACTTGTTGCACATTTGTACACCCTGTGACTTTCAAGGCCTGTAAAGTCTGTAAAGCAAAAGATATGACACATTGGAGGCAACATATATTTCCTCAGAAGTGCAGTTCTGCCAATTCATTTCAACGTTATCCTCTTCAAGATTCTTTCCCTTGCTGTGGTGTGACGCTTTTTCTGACACATCTCATTATTGCATTTCAGAGCTTGCCAAGTATGACCATGCTTGCAGCTACTTAATGAGCTCATGAGTGACCAAAAGGGTCAGGAAAGACATGATTCAAAACCGTCAATTTGTGAGATACAGTGATTTGTTGCTTAGGGTATAGCAAGTTTCTAGAAATAAATAAATAGAGGGGTGGTGTGTGGAATAAAAGAAAATTTATTTCTTTGGTAAATTCAAGAAAACATTTAATTCCTGAGTGTATTGTAATGAGCTCTCCTAGAAGCTGGTAGGATTCAGCATATTTCCAGGGAGCTGTTACTTTGGAGTGCAGAATGAATTTGAGTTTTGTAAATCTTTGATGGGGATATGTCAAGTGAAGTGACATACACAAGTACATTTAAACTCTTGTTTATCACTAGATATTGAATGTTAAGAAAAATGTCTATTTTATTCTAATGAAAATATTTGAAGGCAATTAATATATGTATTATGGAAAACCAAACATTCTGACAAATTTTTATTTTCCCTTTTTTGAACTTTTGTGACATAAATGTCTTTTTGGTCATAAATATTATTTTCTTTTTAAATGCTTTTTTCCTGAAAATTTATGTATATTTCTTTTTATTTTTAGTTAAAATGATTTAAACTTGTGTTTAAGTTCTACTAATCACATCAATTTTCAACTAGTAACAATCTCCATTGTTTGTATTGACTGAAGCTGTCATTTGGGTTTGCAGGTCACTGAATTTTGGAAACTGCATTGTGGCTTCAGATTTCTTTTTTCGCATTTCTTTGCACAAATAAAATAAAAACTGCGGTCTTTGGGCACTGGGTTGAGGGGTGGGCACATGTGAGCGTTGAGCACCGATTCATGCCATAATGAAAGCACCCAAGTCTCTCAGGGCAAGACGATGATCCTCACTTCTGACTTTGATATCTTTCCATACTAGATGTTTTTCTGGGAAGTGTGCAGTGTAAGCCCATCCCTGTCAGGTGTGAGGTGCATCTTCATTCTGCTTGCAGTTGTCTGAATTGTACACCACAGCACCACATGAAGTACTTCAGTGCTTCCAAATGTATCAGATCAATCCTGTAAAGATGCCTGAATCTCTCGCTCACAACAGTTCATTAATTGTCTATTCTCACTTGTTATTTTATTTAATTTTTTTTTTTTTAATTTATTTTAAATTTTTTGCAGGTGCTGATAACACTACCCATTCCAGATTATGACCAAATTATGAGAAGGTTTCCTGGTGTGCAGTTAAGTGTGTGGCAAAGTTCTACTCAGGAGGGTGAACCCATGATGTGGGAACAGTTGAATGTTGAGATTTCACCTGCCGTGCCTTATACACATGGCGGTTGTCAATTATATCTTGTTTCATTTCCTGTACACCACTTTAGTTTTTTTAAAATCGTATGGGACTTGCTTTCAACTTCACTGTATGAAGCAAAAATGGGCATGTCATACTTTTATCCATACATTTCTTTCTCCATGATGTGTCAAGCTTTTATGGAAGAGAATTCAGGGAATAATCGTTTTGGTTTGGAGGTTATTTGTTACCGCTCTGATCGACGGTTACCTGAAGCAACTAATTATAGGTAATCATAATTACAAAATATAAATATGAAATAGATTTGAGTATTGTAGATACATGTAATGTTGTTTTTTCTACTTTTTCCTAGGCATCGTGTTGGTGCTAGTTTGAAACCTAAAATGGTGAGGCCTGGAAGAATTGTTATACGTTTGAGATCTCAAATGTTTGAGGCTGATGTTGAAGCTGGGGAAGATGAGGATATGAGCAAAGAAGAGCCAGACTTTAGAGGAAGAGACTTCGAAAAACAATATGCCTGCAGGTTTGTGTATTCTTAGATTTTTGTGAAATGTATGCTGTCTATACTGTGAAAGCTTTATAACTGTCATATTTCTGTGGAAAATTACAGGTTCAAGCCTGATGTTAATGTGGATCGTGGTACATTTGGAAAAGTTATTGTGGAACGGATAGTTACTGGAAGTAAAGATCCTCTTTTTGAATTTAATCTTCATAAGGTGAGTGTGCAAGTGGAAAGACAGAGAAGCAATTGTTGCATAATTGGAAAATGGTTGTATCATTATTTCACCAGTCGTACAATCTTATTAAATTATTTTAAGTCCTTACTGATTTTTCTACATGTTATATGTACTGTAATTTCATTTTAATCCATTAGTGCCAGCACCAGAATTTTCATTAGCATCTGGTAATGAAAATTCTGGCAACGGTCCAGGGGCGTTGTCTGTGCAATAATTTGCAAACACTATTTCTTCCATAGACATTCTCAATGAAACATAGAAGCAAGTTTTTTCATTCCCAGGTGTCGATTTAGCAGTGATCGCCAAGGCATAGTGTCCTGGCCAGGGTGTATATGTGACTTCAAATCTTCCCAAAGAACAAATTAAAATATTGGCATTTTGTTCATACAGTAGAACCCCTAAAATCTGACATTTCAGATAATCCAAACAAAATTCGGGAAGGAGAGATAAAATAAACAAAATAATAACATTCTTATTTGTAGTGTAAAGAAAGGATTTTATAATTACATAGAACTGAACAACTTGTTATTGAATCACAAGTTGTTGAAATTAAACATTTATTGCACTATTAACTGCGGTGTATATCACATGTAGTAGTAATTTTCACTTAAAGGAACTTGCAAAATTGGTAATTTTCTTTTGCCTAATCTAAGGAACCTAATCTGCTTGATGATGTGCTGTTGTGCCAGCGTCACATGAACATCACATCGGTCACTGTGTACACAGTGTGCTGTTGTACATAGCGGAAGAGCATCAGAATGTGTCCTTGGGGGTATCTTCTCCTTCACAATCTTTGTTTTCAGAGTTGTCATTTGGTTGATTGTGGAGATAATGGCTTCATCACTGATTTCTTGATTACCATTGTCATCAAGTGATATCCATTGTTAAAGGCAGCTTTCCCCCACATCTTCCCTGAGATTTATTGAACAAGCTAAAGGGTTTCGTTATTGTTCAATGCTGGAATGGATAGGATTTCTTCAAACTCTGGTCTTGGCCACAATTTCATCCACAATATTTGTATTAAATGTTCATTAAAATTGTTTCAAGACTCAGCTAGCCAGCAGTTGACATCCTTTTTTGTTATGGTTATTTTTTTCTAAGATTTAAAAACATTACTGATTTGAATTAGAAATTGTAGAAGGCTTCCTATATTTAACTTTAGTTTTGTAACTCCCTTGGATTCCATTGTTTGCAGATAATGGTTACATACAGTGACCAAAAAATGCTTTGATATCTCTGTTAACTAGCTAAATTTCTGAACAATGAGATGGAGAATTGTCAATCAAAAGTAGAGCTCAAGGTGGCAGTTCATTTTCTCTATTGAATCTTCTTACAGAGGGAACAAATTGTTTCTTGAACCATTCACTGAACTGAACACCAGTCTTCCAAGCAGGGTGAGCATTCATGTTCATGTCATTTAGGGCTTGTGGTTTCACAGACTTCCCAATTACCATGAGTGGTAATTTGTTTGTCGCGCAATTATTCGCGCGTTATTCGGCAGAGTAATTAAGTAGCTGTGGTGAGTAGTTTTCTGGTGATGTTAAGATTGCAAACTTGTCTAAGAATGTATTTGCAGCTGCAAAATATGCTGATAATTGCCCTCTGTTATCATTAATTCTCATATCTCATATTTCTTCTTTCAACGATCTAAACAACCATTGATGGCAGTAAATATTGGGTAACCACTTGTAAGATTGTTCAGTTGCAATACCTTTTCTTGAGTCAGTATACCAATAATACTGCTGTTTTGTATTTCCTGAGTAAACCACGAGAAAGTCGTTTTGCCAGGTTTATCATGACGACGTGGAGTTGTGGCATTGTTCGAAAGTTGTTTCACTAGTTGTGTTGTAGAAGCTTTCAATTTTCCTACGATTTTTATGCCAATCACTTATAGTGACTTTCAAGACACAAAATTCAATAGACAGTTTTGTGGCGCTTTCTCCATTGTCAAGCCACTTAAGCTTGTGCAGTTCTTTTTTTTAACCTAAAGGGACTATGTTTTCTTTCATTTTTTAACAAATTGAATCAACTAATCATAAAAAGAAGTCTCAAAAAAAAGTTAATAAATATTTGTTGTACTGTGTTGTTGTAGCTGCAGGACAATGCCGAAAAAAATTTAAACCTTTGCAATTTTCAAAAAATTAAGGATTTGACTGAAAATGAGACCTGCATTATTTATTTAAGCATCCTTTATGCTGTCCACGGACAAAATTTAATTAAAACATGTTGATCCATTTTTTTGAAAATTTTGAAAACATCTCAGGATTTTCATGTAAAGTATTCCCCAAAAATTAAAATATCGATTGTAAATTCTAGAAGACACAACCAAATTGATTGGGGAATGTAAATTTTGGAGAAAATAATCTGAACAGTTTAGGCACTAGCGTTGTTCAGGACAGATGTGTCAATTGATTTTTTGGTATTGAGGACTTAAAAAACGTGACTCTGACTACACAGTGTTTTAGAGGAAGTAATTTACTATCTATATAGACAAGATTTGTCCTTTTTCTTGTTACCAGGGCTTGCCAAAAATATTATTTCTGTCAAAATTTGCTGTTTTTTCCCATATGCAAGAAAGAAAATCACAGAAGTTTGCAAAATATTAAATCCAAAACATTTTGTCGCCCATCAATGTAAAATTTGAAAAATTAGAATTAAAAATTGCCTGAGAGAGTAAATTTACAGAAAATCTTCTGCAATTAAATTGAAAACTTTAGAGTGCTCACTTAAGTAAAGTTTACTTTAAAGGATAAGAAAGGGAGATGGAGGTAATTTTTATATGTCTTGTAAACTGTGAGTTTTTTCTTGTTTTGAAAGCTACATGAACAAAATGATGTTTTCAAATAATAAGCAATGATTCCAGTTGCAAATTAAATTTAAAAAAATTAATTTGTGACTGCATTCATCACTTATTATTTGATTGCATTAATCGAATGATCTCTGAACTTTTAAAAATGTTAATTTTGGTAGAAAACTGTAGATTTGTTTAACAATCTTTTTTTTGGTAGGTAAAGAAAGAGTTATATTCTCGTCATCATCTAAATACTAATGGAAAAAATCTTGTAACAAGTACGTCAAGTAAGCAGTATTTATTAATCAAAAACAAGGATATCCACTGCAATGATCAACAGGAGAAATATTATTATTTAAGAATGCAGAGGGAATTGTAGGATGCATCCTGTGATAGATTAAGGAAAATATATGGTTTGAGGGTCGTTCACCAGAATGTTCTTATATTGGTAATAAGTATGAGCAAATAAAAACTACCATACAAGATATAGGAGCTCACATATGTGTTTTTACTGAACGAAATTAGAGCATACAAGTTTGAAAACTACACATTAACATCTCATCTACGATGAATTTGTTCTGGAAGTAGCTTAAATTAATCTGAACACAGAAAGAGAGGTAATTAAAATTGTGGGAATATACAGATCTCCAAATGCAGACACTACAGAATTCTTGAAAAAGTTTGAAGGGCTACTAAATATACTAGATAAATGTAAAATAGTAATAGTAGGAGACTTAAATATAGACATAACAGAATATAAACTAAAGATGTAATTGGGGAATTTTACATTCATGACATAAAACTTGGACCTACACAAATTACAGAAAACTCTAGTCGTGACATTAACCAATATAAAACAAAGAAACTATACAGCATATAATCTAAATTTTCACATCTCTGACCACAAAGGGCAAATAAGTGGGCAGATATTGAATGTACAATTTTTTGGGGAAAAAACAAAATGTGTTAAGTAATGCACAACACTGATTCAGGAAGGATAAATCCACCATTACTGGAGTTAATTTTATTCACAAAATAATAAATAATCGAGAAAATAACTTTTTTACTCTTGGTAGATTATCAAAGGCTTTTGACAGTGTGTCACATAAACTACTACTTGAAAAACTCGAACATTTTGAAATAGGCAATATTCATGAATTACTAAAGTCATACCTAACAAATCATACACAAAGTGTTCAAATATACTGGAAAACAGAAAAATTCATAAATAAAGTTAAATCTAATTTTGGTCTTGTAACAGCAAAAGTCTCGCAAGGATCAGTATTGGGACCACTACTATTTCTAATATACATGAATGACATTCCATCATCAAGAAGTAAACTGATCTCATGTGCAGATGATACAACATTAATCAGTAGTATTAAAGACATAAAAGCGTTGAAAGAAAATGTGACAGATGCAATGCATCACATTTCTAGATATCTAAGTCACTATAATCTAAATTAAAACATCAATAATACACATATGGTACAATTTTGTCACCATACGCAAAACCAAAATTACAAAATATTGATATAAACAACCTTAGGGTACACCGAGTGGAAAGCCACACATTTCTTGGAATCCTCATTGACTAAAATCTAAAATGTAATGAACACGTTGATGTCATATGCAAAAAAATTAATTCTACCATGTACTTGTTACGAAATCTCTCAAAGTATATAACAGTGAAAATGCTCATTACTACATACTATGGCATTATACACCCTCACGTTCAATATGGTATAGAAATATGGAAAGTAATCATTATAGGGAACATGGTTATGATAATATAGAAACAAGTTCTTAGATGTATATTTCAGCTGTATCCTAACCAATCTTGTAAAAATTTGTATAAAAAATACAAAGTAATGACTGTTGTAGCAATTTATGCATATTAATGCTCATGAAAAACGGTAATCTTTCAAAACAAATATGTATATCAATACAGTACAAGAGTAAAGGAAACCTATCTCAGGATGCACTCTGCAAAATCGTCTTTAAAGAAACATCGTTATCGGAATTCTGCATTACTCTACAATAAACTACCTAACCATATTAAGGAGTTAAGCAAAAAAATAAATTCAAAAGAGCACTAATACTTTACTTGCCTGTTTAAATTAAAAGAACTTGCCTGTATAAATTATGGAGGAATTAACATAGGAAGAGAGAGACCAATATTTGTATATTCTTTACTTTAGGATAAGTTATTTTATATACTTCAGATAAGCAATTTAGGTTCAGATTGTAATTTCTATCAACTATATAAAATGTAAATAATTATGAATACTACCAACAAAAAAAAAGCTTGCTTTAAGACTTGCAATATTGAGTTAATATGAGCAAATAAATTATTATTATTAAACATTCAAGAAGAGTTATTAGTAATTAGAGTTGTAAAGGAAAATGTTAAAAGTCTGTTTTGATTTTTTATCCTGCTAAAATAAATAAATACTTCTCTTTTTTCCTCCCAATTTAGAAATAATGTATTAACAAAATAAAACATTGTAATATTTTAAAATCAAAAAGTTTTGTTAAGTTGTTTTGTTTTCTCTGATGTTCTAAGACTGGTTTGGAAACTGAGGCATCTCTACCAATGGGTCATGAGCGATGGACTGTTTTGGCAATGAAGGAATTGGCTTCCTCTCTCCAAATCACAGATGGAAACAACTGGAAAAAATTCGCTCAATATATTGGTTTCACAAAAAGTGAAATTAAAAGTAAACTACAGGTAACATTCTTCACTATCATGTTATGTCTAAATATTTGA